AGACAGGTTGCGCCTTGATAGCTAGCTGCTTGCGGGAACTGATGACCTTGATCAATGTCTAAATAATACTCTTAACAAATTTTGGTGGCCCTGAAAAGGACCGTTTTGTAGTGATGGTTGAGTAATTCTGAGCTGAGTGTTCAACACGGATGAGGCTGTCGAGCTGTATGTCGTTTGGAGCGAGGATGAAACGCATGGCATAGATGACCGACCCGGAGCGACTCACGAAGAGCTACTGATTCCGATCCATAGCATAGCGGTGCAGCTTCTTCCTCATTTGATAGTTGCTTATGCGGGCTCTGCAGCTCGCTGCTTGCAGGCAGCTTTTCGTTGTTACTGGAGAATAATTTTCAACGCCACACGCCAAAAGCACTGCTACTGCTTCTACTAATTTCGACGACCGAACACCACCACACAGTGGTGTGGTCGTTGGGAGCGTGTGGTTCTGAGTATGGCGATGAGTGTGCAAAATATTACGCAATTCCATCCTCCCTATACGCACGCGCCCGAGGATCGGAGGCGAATGCCACTTCGACTTGTTTCGTCTACTTACTACTCTCTGACGACTGTGCTGGGGAAGCAGCATATGCATGGTGGATTTGTTAGTTAATTCGACGCTTTTGAACAATGCTGGACATTTACCAGTTTTTCAATAGTTTTTTGTTGAAAATCAACATTCGATAGCATGTTGCATCAATGCGTAGCCATATTTCTGATCGATTGGTGATAAAATTATTGAAATTGGACCAGGGGCAACTGAGTTATTAACGTTCGAAATCTTTCTTAATATGTTACATGTTCCATTTTCGGTTTTCACAAAGTGTACCCCCATATAGAAATCAAAGACGTAGTCCTACGTCAAAATATGTAACGATTGGATCAAAAGCGCACAAAACTATTTTGACAAGCGAGTACAGTATTGTTAACGGAATGACGACTTGAGTGAAGGATGTCAACCCTGTCCCAATGTACCGCCAGTCGGGGTGACAGAAAATGATGCCGAACATTCAACATGTTTTAAAGAATTGTGAATGCTTTACTTATTGCTGTGAATGCTACATTTCAAGCTGAACAAATTGCTAGTGAAAGCCAAAAAGAATTTGAAGATGTGTGGGTTAAAATTTCAATAAACGGCGAAGAACATCTTTTCGCTTCTGTCTACTTTCCTCCACACTTTTCCAAAAAACCAGCTTACGAAAAGCTTTTCACTGCTGCAGAACTGAAAATTCAAAGAGAAGATACAAGAACCAAAATTCATATTTATGGAGATTTTAACCAGAATACTGTTAATTTTATACAGGATAGTGATAATCATTCTCTATTGTTAGGTTAGGTGAAAACGATACTTTGCAATTCCTCTTTGATAAAAGCAGCCACTTGGGACTTCATCAAATTAACCATGTTCGTAACCAGCTCAATTCCTATTTGGATCTTATGTTTACTAATTGTACAGAAGATTTTTGTATTGTAGAAGCAGCAGTTCCATTATGGAAGAATGAAAAATTTCATACGGCTATTGAATACTCAATGTTCACAGACTCGCATCGGTCACGCCCAAGCGTTGTTGATTTTGAATTAGTTTATGATTTTAAAAATGCAAATGTTCCTGAATTTAACAGCTGACTGAATAACATAAATTGGCAAAACCTTTTAAAAGATGAAAACAACATGGACAAGGCTGTTGACATATTTTATACTACCTTATTCAATATCATTGAAGTATTCGTTCCTAAAAGACTAAAGAGAATAATGAACAGCACCAAATATCCTGTGTGGCATACACAAGATATCAGAAATATTAAAAACAGGAAGCAAAAAGCACACAAGGCGTATAAAAAGTTTAAAACGTCACAAAATTTAGAATAATACGTTGAAATTTGCGGAGCACTTGAGGCAGAAATATCGTCAGCATATGAGAATTACAATTCAAGAGTAGAGAACAATATAAAATCTGATCCCAAAACGTTCTTTAACTTCGCGAACGAAAAAATGAAGTCATGTACATTCCCATCACGCATGCAGTTTGAAGAGTTTGATAGCACTGATAGTGAGGATATTTGTAACCTATTTGCTCGTTTTTTTCCAAAACACATATAAGAAATCCAGTAATGCTCTCGATTTGAACTATTTTTCTTACCTACATGAAGGAGAAAATGACGTATCAGTTAATAATATCACTGTTAAAGGAATTTTTATGACTCTTGAAAGTCTCGATGCCGGTAAAGGACCTGGTCCTGATGAAATACCTCAATTTTTATTGAAAAAAATAGCAACAAGTTTTGTTAAACCATTGTTTTGGCTTTACAATTTATCTATCAAAACAGGTGATTTTCCAAAAAATTGGAAGAAATCATTTTTAGTCCCAATATTTAAATCTGGTAAACGGTCAGATATTAAAAACTATAGAGGTATTGCAATTATGTCATGTATTCCTAAAATGTTTGAAGCAATTGTTAACTAGAAAATATTTAAACAGGTTAAGCATCGCATTTCAAATAATCAACATGGTTGTTTTTTAAAGGTCGGTCAACGTCTACTAATCTGTTGGAATTTGTAAACTTTTCTATTGAAGCAATGGATAGAGGTAATACGGTTGAAACCTTATACACTGACTTTAGTAAGGCTTTTGACAGAGTAGACATTCCCTTACTTCTTTTTAAATTAAAACGTTTAGGTATGACAAGTACACTTTTAAAATGGATTGGATCATACTTGACAGAAAGAATACAGATGGTCCACTTTGAAGGAAAAATGTCCTCGCCAGTTAATGTTACCTCGGGAGTTCCACAGCGATCTCATTTAGGTCCTTTATTATTTATTTTATTTGTGGATGACGTTAAGTTTGTGTTAAATCGCTTAAATGTGCTCATATATGCTGACGATATGAAACTGTACATGGAAATCTTTTACAATAATGATTTGCTACATTTTCAAAATTAAAATGATGTTTTCTACAATTGGTGCGTTAAATCTGCTGGATATTAATGTTAAAAAATGCAATATTATATCATATTCCAGAAAACACACTACTCTAGAATTTACATGTACTCTAGGAAACCAGCTGGTTGTAAGGTGCGATAAAATTAGGGACTTAGGAGTAATTCTTGACACGAAGTTGACATTTGTAGATCATGTGAATACCACAATTCACAAAGCAAATAATATGTTGGGATTCATAAAAAGATTTAGTTATCATTTTAAAGACCCATATACCATCAAAACACTTTATATAGATAGCTTACGTGAGATCAATTCTCGAATATTGCAGTGTGGTTTGGGCTCCATACTGTAACGGATTGATACGCATTGCATCATGACCGGGTAAGTAGTAGAGTGGGATTAGTGTTCAGTACCGGGTATGAATTAGGAAACGTGATAGCACGATGTATGAGTGAACCTATGAGCGAGTGGGATAGCGAGATAGCGATACTGGTTGGTGTTGAGTGAGTAGCAACAGGCGAGTCAGTCAGTGTTCGACAGTGCCATCAAACAGACGTGGATACGAGTGCGGGTCAGTGTACAGTACGAATCGGCGTGTTACAATGGCGGCGAGGATTAAAATTGGTAAGTTTCAGTTTTGGAACAAGAAAACAAAAAAAAAATATGAACAAATGTTTCATGCGTACATTTCGAGGTACATTTACGTACCAACAGTACTGGCAATTTAGTGAAAAAACAATAATTCGGGAGATAGAGTGAATCTGATTTTTTTTTTCTCAAGACTAACGTGAACGCTGGAAAAAAAAATATATGGCGGCTTATTGGAAAAATTTGCAGCTGCTTAGGCCAGAATGCACAGAAGATGAGAAAACATGGCGGCGGTGTTGAACTTACTTTTATATGAAATACTCGATGTTTGTGGTTATGATACTGTTTCATGATGTTGGGGTTGTACAAAAATGTGCTATGCAAGTAAAAGAAGGCTCCGTTGAAAACAGAGAAAATACAAAATGCCTCCGCGCTGTGGAAAAAATGCTCCCAGGAAAAGTGGTCCGTGTTGCTAAATTTGAGGTTAAATTTGCTTCGTGATGCGAAATTATGCTTCGTGCTAAAAATGCTTCGTGATAGAGATTGCTTTGTGCATGGGTATTATGCTTGGTGCTGAGGAATTTTCTACGTGAACGGGGATTATGCTACGTGCTGAGGAGTTTTGCTTCGTGAAAAAGATTGCTTTGTACATGGGTGTTGATGAGTTTTGCTTTTCGTTGAGAACTTATACTTCGTGCTGAAGATAGGGCTCTGGGAGAATTAGTGAACCGATTGTTTTTGTGCATGGTAATAATGCACAAGAGAAATTGAGAAATGTTACTTCGTGTTATGGATTTATGCTTCGTGCTGCAATTAAACCGGTTGCTTGTGTGTAGGAATTATGCTTTGTGGATGTAAAATGAAGCGGTTACTTTGAGTAGAGAAAAAAATAACATTGGACAACAAAGTTGTGCCAACAATTCCAGGAGGTTAAGTTGGTATAAAATAATGAACACGATGCAAGCTCAGATGCAAGCAGAGAATGTTTCAAGGAATGAAACAGTTTAGCGTCATTGGATGTTATCGACATACGTATTAAGGTATACAATGTGTCTCTGTTTTTTATAGATGCAGCTGCAATGCCACCTTTCAAGGTGGGCACAGATCCAAGGAACGATTGGATCAAGTGGAAGCGAGCTTTGGATCGGTTTTTGCAGGCAAACAAAATAGAAGAGGATGAAGAAAAATGCAATTTATTGCTAGTTTTGGGTGGTATAGATCTTCAATCATACTACGACAAAGTCGCTAAATGGGATGTTCATAAAACTGTGGACGATAACGAGGAAATAGTTGTCCTCAAGTACGAATCGGCTATTCTATCTCTTGATGAATATTTCGCCCCGCAATTAAGGAAACGATTCGAACGTCATTCTCTACGGTCGATGAGGCAGAATAACCAAGAGCCTTTTGAGGAGTATGTATTTCGGTTACGTGAGCAAGCAAATCGATGCTGTTTTATCGATGTCGACGATATGATCGTCGATCAAATTATCGAAGGATGCCGGTCGGCTGACTTAAGGAAGAAGCTATTGACAGAGGAGTTGACACTTTCTGAAGTAGTTAATCTGGGAAAAACGCTAGAAGAAGTCCAGAAACAAACGAGGGAATACGAGAAACCCTCAACGTCGTTTGACGATGGCTCATTGGTTCAAAAAGTTGTTGCGAGGACCTCATCTAGTACCAGATCTTGGGAAGGTTCAAGGAAATGCTATAATTGCAACAGACCGGGACATTTGGCCAAAGAAATAGACAAATGCCCGGCGAAGAATGTGGAATGCTATGGATGTCGAACGAAAGGTCATTTTAAAGTTTGCTGCCGGAAAAGGAAACACAATGAACCGGGAAACAGAAACTCAGCTGGAGCCAAACGAATTCATGCAATCATCAGTGACGAGACGGAGACAGATAAGGGTATTTTTTTCGTCAAGGCCTCGGAGGAACTGAATGAGATACTTGAGTTGAATATTGGTGGAGTGATTACGAAGATGGTCATCGACTCCGGATCGCCAGCTAACATTATCGATAGCAAGACATTCAAGAGGTTGAAAAATCAAGGAGCACAGATCCTGAATAAAAGGAAGCCTGAAAGCGACGAAATCAAATTCAAGGCGTTTGCATCTGATCAGGACATATTCTTCAGTACAGCATTCGAAACGGAGGTGAAAATTCCTGGTGAAGAGACTGGAATCTGGTCCCATATCTTGGTCGCTCCGGAAGGTCAAGTTAGCTTGTTGAACAAGGGAACTGCATTTGCGTTGGGAATATTGAAAATCGGATATCATGTGAACCAGATTTCGGCGGAAGAGCGTACAAAGGACGCAAACGAAGGACGGGAAGCGTTTCCTAAGATACCGGATGTTCGTTTGTCAATCCAAGTTGATGAAACAATAACACCAGTCGTCCAAGCAGCTCGGAGGTTTCCCATGTCCATGGAAGCGGACGTGGAACAAACGATTCAAGAGCTGTTGGAGAAACAAATCATCGAACGGGCGGAAGCTTCCATAACATGGGTGTCACCACTCGTCCCAGTGAGGAAATCCGATGGAAGAATCAGATTGTGCGTAGATATGCGAGCTGCTAACAAGGCAGTTAAGCGGGAGAACTATCCAATGCCGAATATCGATGATGCAATGTCAAGAATAAAGAAGGTACGTAAATAAACTTTGATATTTGTTTGAGAACTATGTTAGAGTTTTTTTTTATTATATGTGTTGATAGGTTGCGAAATTATCCAAAATTGACCTTGAAGCCGCTTATTACCACTTCGAGCCCAATAAGGATAGCAGGAACATCACTACATTCGTTGCAAGAAGCGGGGTTTACCGTTTCTGTCGGTTGATGTTCGGGATAAAGTCCGCTCCCGAGCTTTCCCAACGAGAAATGGAAAATTTATTTCGAGGGATTAAAGGTCTGATAGTTTACATGGATGACCTTCTTATCCATGGGGAAACTGTGGAAGAACATGATCAGTCCTTGCGAGAAGTTCTTGATCGGATTAAGAAAATGAACATGAAGATTAACATGCAAAAGTCAGTTTTCGGGGTAGTATCTGTGACGTTCTTAGGACACATTGTGGCCATCGAAGGCATTCGGCCTACGGATGACAAAATCAAAGCTATTCTTGGGCTGCAGGCACCCTCATCTGTTACTGAACTAAGATCACTTTTAGGGCTTATCAATTTTGTTGGAAAGTTCGTCCCAAATCTGTCGACAATGACTGTTAATATGAGAACTTTGCTGAATAAGGAATGCAAATTCGTTTGGACAGAAACACATTCCCGGGAACTAGAAGCTCTAAAAGGAATACTGGGTAGAGTAGAATATCTAGGATTTTTCGATCCAAAAGATGAGACTTTACTAGTTACTGACGCCAGCCCTTATGGCTTGGGCGCTATTTTGATCCAAATTAAAAACAATGTCCCGCGAACCATATCCTGCATATCGAAAAGCTTAGCTGACTTCGAGAAGAAATACTGTCAAACGGAAAAAGAATGTTACGCAATTATCTGGGCCATGGAAAAACTGTACGTGTATCTCTATGGGATGCATTTCACGCTTATAACAGATTGCAAGCCACTGGAATATCTTTTCAACAGGGTCAAGTCAAAACCATCAGCTCGGATAGAAAGATGGATTCTGCGCTTGCAAAGTTTTGATTTTACGGTTAGATATGAACCGGGAGATGGAAATCTCGCTGATTCACTCTCTCGTCTTTCTCAAGGGATAAAAGACTGTAGTACAGGTTCAGACGTTATCAGTTGGCTAGCAGATGAAATAAAACCTACTGTGTTGTCTATTGACGAGCTTGAAAAGGAAACATTGCGTGATGATGATTTACAAAAAGTCAAGGAAGCGATATATACAGGGATCTGGGACGAAGTACCGAGTGAATTTAAGACAGCTACGATTAAAGATGACTTAACGCTCTATGGAGAATTGATACTGCGAGGTGACAGAATCGTTATTCCTAAATTGTTGAGAGAAAAAGTTATTCATTTGGCTCATTTGGGACATCAAGGTGGAACATCCATGAAAGCGATGCTTAGGGCCAAAGTATGGTTCCCTTTCATGGATAGACAGGTGGATACAATTCTCCGGAATTGCAAACCGTGTAAGATGACGGCGCTGCCCGATAAGCACAATCCAATGATCCGTCGACTTCCGACAATGCCCTGGCAAGATTTAGCGATCGATTTTAAGGAAGGTCTTCCCGGGGACGTGTCATTACTAGTTGTCGTATGCTACACAACAAGGTTTGTACAGATAGAACCAATGAAGCCGGCAACAACACAAAAAGTAATCGGTGCACTATTGCGAATGTTTAGTTCGTTCGGCATACCACGATCGATTACTTCAGATAATGGACCGCAATTCAAGGCGATTGAATTTCGGAATTTCTGTATAAGTTACGGGATCCATCTGAACCTCTCTACACCGTATTGGCCGGAACAAAATGGAGCTGTGGAGAGGCAGATGCGTAATATTGGAAAACGAATCAAAATTAGTTGTATTCAGGAAACAGATTGGAAGGCTGATCTCTACGAGTACTTGACGTTATACCATTCGACTCCACAAGAAACGACTGGTGTTTCCCCGGGACAGATGATGTTTGGCCGGGAGATACGGAATCGTATACCATCTATTCATCAACCACCGAGTTTGAAATGGGAATCATGCAGAGATCACGACATGGAAAAGAAGGAACAACACAAAACAAGGGCTGACGGAGCGCGGCAGGCGAAAAATCACAAATTGGAGAAGGGAGACGTGGTGTTGATGCGGAACATCAGAAACGGATCATATCAGCCAAATTTCGGATCTGAAGAATTTGAGGTTACAGACATCATGGGAGGGGAGATCACTGTAAGGTCAATGGGAACTGGCAAGACGTATAAGCGGAACAGTTCACATCTGAAGAAGTTAAGAGACGCTGTAACACCTTTGACGGAGATCGACACTACAGATTCGGAAACTGAAGTTGCCGAAGATGCGAGCGGAGATGTGATCCAAGGCGGTACCACGACCTCTACAGAAGATCCTCTGAAACCAGGTACGAAGCGGGTTTGCAGACGACCGACTAAATTTGATGATTTTGTAGTGTAAAATTCAAATAATAAACTCAAGATGGTAGATTAAATACGAAACATAACGTACAATAAAAGTTAGAAACAATAGCTAAATAAACATCACTAAAAAAAGAATACGCTTAGTAAACAACTAAAAATTAGGAAGGATGTAACGGATTGATACGCATTGCATCATGACCGGGTAAGTAGTAGAGTGGGATTAGTGTTCAGTACCGGGTATGAATTAGGAAACGTGATAGCACAACGTGTTTCGTAGTTGAGTGTGGTGAAATTCGTGCATTCCCGGTTGATTTTGGAAATCCGTAACACAAAATTGCCCACCGATTCCTTTTTTTTGCCGTTCAACGACGGCGGGTGTGCTTTTGCGAGAGTGACGTTTATTTGATCCGTTTCTTTGCACTGGTGTGTTTTTTTTTTTTGTAACTAGCGTAAGTGTGCCTGAGATTTGCAGTGAGTGTCGGAGATTGTAAGTAATCTAAAGGATGCCTCGCTGGATACGCCCAAGACTGGACGGGCAGTAGCTGGTGGCCGTGAACGGTTCCTGGCGAATACAGGAAGTATTGGTATTGGAAGGTAATTGCTATTAGATATTTTGCAAACAGTGACAGATAGCGGACATGAAGAACCAGTGGAGGTGCCGGGCAAAGGTGTTTATCCTAGACAAATAGTAAGTTACAAATTCGCTGTTGTCGTTGTCGTAGGCGCAACCGTAGTCGCTGTCGTAATCGCCGTCGTAGTCGTAGGCAGTACCGTTAGTCAGTGTTCGGAAAAACTCAAAAACTCAAATCTCATGCATGAGTTTATGCGGCTATGAGTTTTACCTTGCAAAATTCCACGTCACAAAAATCACCGGTGAGTTTTCAGGTTCAAAAAACCATTGCTTTATATTTTGGCGTTATTGATTGCTATTACTATTGTTTGTGCATCAGGGGTTGGAAAACTAACACAACATCAATAGGCATGATATCAATTGACGTTTGAGTGGTGTTTATGAGTTTAATGCTGGAATGATTTTTCTGTGTTGTGAGTGTGAGTGCGTGAATATGCATGAGAATCTCAAGCGTGAATTTTGTTTGCCGCATTCGTACGTGAGTTTATTCTCGCAGGGAGGCTCAATGAATGAGATTTGAGAATGATTTTCCGAACACTGCCGTTAGTATATTTAAAATTAACCACCAAACGCTGAAAATATGAATTATCGCGTATTTTTGTTGTTCATTACATGCCAAGTAAAATTCGAGAGCGTAATTTCATTTGAATAGCTTGTTCAACTAGGTCTTAAACAATCGTCACGTCGGTCATAGCTTGTTATGATTACCTGAACCATGCGTAAAGAGAAAATCGAAAATGGATCTTAATAAAGACCTCTTTCGTAGCTTTTAGTTTAAGGATTTCAAAGATCGTTGGTTGCAGTGGCTTGCTTACTGAGCAGAAAAACGCGGTCCCACATCCTTTCATATTAAAAATGTATGGTTAGATCGCTTGTTTATCGTGTATTTTGTAAAACTTTTCGTTGTCGTCGGTGCCGGGTCTGAATAGTCATAAAAACTTGAGTAACGTTAAAATGTGATATGAGGGGCTCGGTGGCCTTAGCACAACCGGTTTTGCTTACTGAGCAGAACATCATGAGTCTAATCTCAAGCCCATCCACATTCAAGATTCGTCAATCATTTTATTTGTTAACATGACTACATGGTAATAACAGCAACTCGATGATTATAAAGGAGCTCGTCTGCCTAGTGGCAAACGTTTTTGCTTACTGAGCAGAAGACCGTGGGTTTAATCCCAAGCTCCTTCGCGTTACATATGATTGTTAGGAAATCAATTCAGCTTATCGTTTACCAAAACGAACCCTGCTGCAAACCCAACCCAACCCTCTTATCCAACATTCCAGTGATTCCTCGTGGAAGTGCAGAGGTGTTCTCGGCTTCCATCAAAGCGAGTGTCACGTCAACACATTCCTACCCCTTCCTTTCTTGACCTGTGTTCGGGCGCGGCCGGCGCTGGTATTGCCTAGTTTGAGATCACCAGTTTTTACACATTGAGGATGATTGCTAGTCCCTAGCATCGTCTATTGGTTCTCTGTGTAATTACAGCTGGTCTGGCAATAACAGAGTAGCAACCATGGGCGGTCAATCATGCTGATGCTCATGCTCAGAAATGTTCAAAAAACTTGCCCCTCCATTCAACAGAACTGTGCAATTTTTACATCAGAAATGTTCAATACAAACTTGCCCCCAGGAGATTTTACAGCAGAACATTTAAATTGACCAGAGCGAGGCAAATTTTTCACCGTTAATGTTCAATAAAAATTGCTTCTCCAATCTTCTGATTGGTGCAAGTTTCCTTTTTACATTTTTCACCAGACATTTACAATATAGCTTGCTTCTCCTATCATCAGAATGTTGCAGGTTTTTCACCAAATAAAGCTGCCCCTATTTTCAGATTTTTTATGATAAATTTTCAGTAAAGCAACTTCCCTCCAATTATCAGAATGGTGCAAATTTTACAACAGAAATTATTATCAAAGTTTGTTTTTCTATTCAGCAGAAGGATGCAAACTTAAGACCAAAAATTTTCCGAAAAGCTTGCCCATGCGTTCACCATAACGGTGCAGATTTTCCACCAGAAATTTTCAATAAAGTTTGTGCCTTCATTTACCAGATCAGTGCAAGTTTTCCATCACAAATTTTCTGTTCATTTCATTTATCAGAGCGATACAAATTTTTCACCAGAAATTTTCCATAAAGCATGCTCCTCCAGAAGGGTGCACCAAAAATTGTCGGTGAAGTTTGTGTCACCATACACCTTTATGGTGAAATTTTCAGGCTTTGCCTCTTAATGCACCAAAATGGTGCAAATTTTCCACCATAAATTTTCAATGAAGGTTGCATTCATCAGAACGATGCAAATTATGCACCAGAAAAATGAATGAACCTTGCTTCTAAATTCACCACAGTGTCCGCACACTGTACGGACTGACCATCCCCTTGTAGTAAATGGAACTAACATTCATTGTAATACATTTTCGGTTGGCGTGGGACGATCAACTTTAAAGTCGGAATGTGCTATTCGACTTCAACTCTGTCTCCCCATGTTCAAAAATGCGTCCGGCTCTGACTTCGACTCCACCGCCTTGGTAAACATACATAACAACCCGCATGCCCTATAGAGAATTTCCCCGTTTACCATACATTCTATAGTGGAAACATTAAATTCTATGGTTATTTTAACGTTGTAGACAATATCATTTTTATTCAAATACAATAAATCATATTGTATGGTTACAATACACTTCATTGTACCTTTATGATTCGTTTTTTTTTTTACGGATATCATATCACAAAATTTAGGAAAGGGTGAATATATACTTTTTCACTTGACCCCGTTTCACTAAGAGAAAAATCTAACTAAATTTTGAAGCAGAGTTACTACTGTAGTTTTAAGCAGAATTAAGTCAAATTGTAAAACGTGGGGTTACTCAGTGGATGAATCAAATTTTCGTTAATTTTCCTCAAAAACAGATTATCAGCCAAATGTTCATCGATTTTCCTGGAATCATACATTTATTCATCCTCTGAGTAACCCCATTTTTTGCAATTTTTAGTGGACTTTTGTGCGGAGTGTGATTTTGTTGTTCTTTGCATAATTTAAGGAGCATTCCATCGTTGGCTGAGATATTAAGAAAAAAAATCAAAGCGGGGGATCAATGAGCAGTCCTCTATAATTTAGATTTCAACCCAGAAGACCAGAAGAAATTCAAAAATGGTTAAATCTGTCTCTCCTTGAAAGTCGTGTTGTTATGACCCTCGCCATGCTTCTCAAAAATATTTGAATACAGGAATCCTCTGGTGGTACAGTCCACCCACCGTTATCACGAAAATACTCTTACCCATCAATGGATGTGTTCTCATGGAGACGCAAGTCACCTGTCGAAAGTAAATGTTACGCATTTTTCATCCTACCATGCGTCTCCACAGTCCAGGTTTTTTCTTCAATGAAATGATGCTTTTCACAATGAACACCGACAATCGTACTAAGAATAATAACCAGTGCTGCAAAATCTCGACAATGCACGGTGATATTGACAATTCTGCTTTGGTCCCTCATTTGAGCTAACAGTCACAGTCAAGGCAAACTATGTTAATTGTCAATGACAATGCTGTCAGTGACGAACAGGTGTACATTTTTAATTAACTAAATTTGGAATGAAATTAAATGACTTGAGCAACACAATTACATGGAGCCATTAATGTGAACAAGCAACTACGTCCTGAACTGCTTAGATAACAATGATGTGACACAGTATATACGAAATTACACTTGTTGTTAGTGTTACCAGGTGAATCTTTAACGAACAATTTTGTCAATATCGTGCGATAATGTCAATGACAATGATAAATCTCAGCACTGTGCACAACTACCCATTCAAATAAGCGCCTCTGCCAGGAAAAGCCGTGCAACTTCATCGGTAGTCAACTTTACACGCCATTTCAGTCAGGTAAAATCTCAGTTCATTTCATGTCTTTCATGCAAGTAAATTTAACCAATTCTCGCAACTACACCTACACAACCGCAGACACCCTCGCACCATACAAGAACAACCCTTCCAAGAGAAGCCAGCAAACACAAGAAAATCGTCTTCGAATTAGCATCGAACGCAGTTAGTAGAGTGCTCGGTTTGTGCGGTTCCATTCGTGGCTTTCCTGTGCAGTGCCACCGACAATAAACCCGTGCAAACGTGCGCTGCATCTAAAAGCCCAACCGTGTTAGGTGCAGTTTAGGGCCAAAACCCGGGACTAAACGGCGAATTCCCTACCCGTAGTCGAGTTGTCGAGCTGGCAGAAAAGCCTCGGTGAAAGAACTCCAGTTTCTGACCGACCTAAATTATTTTCTTTTTCGAACGCACAACAGTCGTTCTCTCCTGGTCGCTCCTTCGTCGGTCGGTGCTTGAAAGAAGAATCTGCTGCGGAGCGGTGCATTCGCTCTCTCGCTTGCTCTCTAATTCACATTTCTGTTGCTGTTGCTGTTGTTGTTGTTGTTGTTGTTCACACTAGCATCTATGGATCAGCATCTTCGCGTTGTACAACACAGCAGCATATTGGGAGGAAAATAACAACCAGAGAGGTGTGAATTGTTATGCTCTGCTAGTGAATGTGTATGAGGGGGGCCATGAGTTGTGATGGTAGTGTGGGCCGCCGTGCATCGAACGCACTAAACCAATACAGTCGTGGAATGGATGAACTGTTGCAAGATAGAGCACATCAGTGATAGGGACCTACGTGATGCGAAATGTATAATCAGCAAAATTGGTTTTCGTGTGATTCTTGATATTTGCATTTTGAAGGCAAACGGTTTAGTAGAAAAAAAAGAAGACATTTACAGTTAGGCGAAATTTTCATTGCACATTGACTGCACGCGACAAATTCACTTTGCCCACTTTTGCATCGATCAAATTGAATTGTTCTAGTGTTGGAGCGCGTTATGTTTATTCTCAGTTTTTCATTCTACTGGTGTGTGGTTAAGTGATAGGACGTTAATTTTCGTATCGACGTAAATTGTGCTAAAGAAGGGTTTTGAGACTAGTTTTGATGCTGGTAGTTGACAAATTTAGTGAAAAAGTGCAGCATAAGTGTTTAATTAACAATTGTAATCTGTTAACAGAAGAGTAAATGGTGGAATTTTCCATTAAAAGCTGTCAGAAAATTTTCTTGTTTACAATTTATGACATTAGTGGGAAAATTCGTCCACGTATGAGTGAACTTCACCAACATAACAGATAAAAATTCGATCTAGTGTGCGAATGCGTGCTGGTATTTGTGTATGTGAATAAGTGCATTGGAAAATAGAAATCTAACTGGCGATTGTCTATAAACAGGCCCTGCTGTGTTGACAAGCTTAACGCGTGAAATAAGTGACGGGGGTTTGTTTATGCAGTGGACGTGAACGTTGTAAACGCCTAATACAAGATATCCATACACGCTAATAGATATATTGAAGAAAGACGAAAAAACTTGTACTGTCGCTGTGGAATCAATGAGAAGATTTTTGTCAAAGAAAAAGTTATTAATGGACAAAAGTGCGCACCAATACCAACATACTGACGGAGTGCTGGAGTGATTAAAGTGGAATCCGATGAACACGTGTGAATGTGTTTGTTTTTAATGTAAACACAGACCATACACATGCAGATGTGCTGTATGTAAAAAATATATTTTAAAAAATGTAGGCATAAGCAGTTTTTGGACACCAACCAACACATCGGACCTTTGCTGCTAAATCAATGAGAAGTAGTTTTTGCAGCAATCAGCTTCTCCAGTGTCGATCACTTTACACCGTATCAAGATTTCTTTTCATCCGTCGTCTTTGCCATGAACATGATTTTCATGAGCCGCAAGTGTTAAATGTTATTCGGAAAATCAAACGATTGTTAACATAAATCAGTTATTTAAACACAAACAAAATCAAAAGAAAACATGGAAACCCTCACCGAACCAAGTGTTGCTCCGGAACTCCGGGGCGAGTCACTTATTCCGACATCACCGGACGAAGAACGTTCAATTGATCACCATCACAACAACAACAACAATGACGACGACGAAGACGTCGATTTGCCGGGCATGATCCATCCAAGCAATCTCCTCGAAGAGCAATCCCAGTCATCCCAGGACAGCAGTAGTTTAGTGTCTCCTCCACCGGGCGGTGGCGGTGGAGATGTCCCGGAAGAAACCATCGAAAACATTGCAAAGGAACTGCAGCACAGCAATAGTGGTTCGGACAACACCTGCAACGATACCAACGATTCCCAGCCGGAACCACCGCTGGAGAACACCACCGATTCCAGTAGTATACCGCACCCGGACGATCCGGAAGGCAATGCGTCACCGTCACTCGAGGTGCCTCCAGTGGCCCCGACACTGAAAATTCACATAGCGCCCGTCATCTCCAACGGTAATTTGCCGGCCAAGTCCGGCGGCAAACCGACGACGATGCGTGATCTCGATCGTAAAATGAACAAATCACGCGGGCGGCCGAAACGGAGACCCATGGTGGCCATGTATCAAAGTGAGGTAAGATTATAGCACGGTGAACAACGTAAGGGGGAAATGGTGTAAAACGCGCTGGCGGGATAATACGCACCACCACGATAGTTCACTTAATAGACACTTTGAACAACGGTTTGCTGCACCGCCAGGCAGTATTTTTGGGTTAAATCACAGAACAGAAGTGGAACTTCGGATCAGAAAGTGGCGTTACTTTAATTGGATAACACTAGCGCACCTATCGGTAGAAGACATCTTCTGCCTGCAGTTAGGATAGGCAGCCTGCTATGATAGTGTAAGTGCGCCTAGAAAGCCACCTCCACAACTCAACGCTTGTTTAGCGGTAAACCTTACCACTTTTGATTCACCGATTTGTTTGCACTTCCCCTTCAGTTCTGTGGTTAAATGCTATTCTAATCTCAAAGTCACGAGTTCAAATCTCACCCGCGGACAATAGTGTTAAAGTGACTATAATAATAAAAAAATACTATTTCTACTCACTAAAAATATATAAAAATAAAAGTTTATTTGAGTGCTTCTCGATTAAGATTTGTTCAACGGTTTGTGAGAGGTTTCATAGGCAAAAAAGAGCATTCTTAACATTTGATATATGAATCATTACCAGCTTCGTGATTTGAGTAAAACGGGAATGTTTTTTGATCACAAATAAGCGTTTTTAATGTACAAAGTTCTGAGTTAAGGGTGGAGCAATATGCGCCTTGCTGTTTGGTAACTTCTAAACACTTGTTGACGTTTAAATCATTTTCTCGATGATGAATGCATATTTTCACATGATATTTTCGATAACATCAAGAAGATTATTCAGACTAATGAATGCGCTGAAATAAAATGTTTATTGTTGATTAAAATGTAGTGAAAATGTATAATTTCATTTAACCCTTCGTTCCCCTAGAAGAAAAATATATTGTAATATCGCCTTGAAAACGATACACTTTACAGCTCCAAAAGCCTATTTGTTTTCTTTTTTCTTATTCAAAACTAACCGGGCGCAGACATATCGATCAACATGTGCTTAATTTATAAAAACTATGACCCACAATTCTTTACCGAATTTTTGAAAGGTCTACTATTTATGCACAAAATTGAGCTGCAACCGTCTAACATAAATGTAGATTCAATCAGCACCCATAAATGCGGAATTAAAATAAAAAAGCTTAATTAAGAAAAATAAACGGTGATACAAACTTTTTGATTTTATTTTGCTCATGTGCTCTTGTGAAGACAGGTACCTACATTCCCTAATAAACAAATACCATAAACGAACTGTATCCCGGATGGGTAAACTATCCCACAAATGCTTTGGATGATACCCCGAACACGTCGTTAAGCTCTCTTTTATGGTTATTTTTATTAGGGTTTCCAAAGGCATTAAGGAAGTTGTGAATGCCAATTTACACCAGCCACTTTCAAAGTGCAGAAATATTGCTCCGTCCCTAGTGATAAAAGCAGACGCTTGAAAACAAATTCACCACATTAAAACAAAAATCAGTCTTTCCTCTAGCATGCTAAGATTACAAAAGAAAACATAATCTAAACTAGAGAGGGTCTAGAAATAAGAGAGGAGCGGACTGACTGGTTTTGAGCCAAACAAACTGTCAAAGCCAGTGTTGCTAGAAACCACCTAGGCATAGGTTGCCAAGGCAGTTTGTTTTGAATTCGCTCCTCTCTCATCCAAACCATAATCATTAGCAGTGTTGGAAAAATATCAAAAAATCCAAAACTCTAAAATAACAAGATCACGCTTAATTTTCTTAGAAACAAATCAACAAGTAAACAACTACGGTTGCTATGGCAAGCTGTGATATCGCAGCTTGGAATATCAAGCTACCAAAACTCACCAGCTGCAAATCTCAACAAACTGTGGTGAGATTGAGTTTCATGATTTTCGCTTTACACCCGAATGCAACCGAGACTTCCATAACGGCTCTCAGCAGTAACTTCATGTCTGCCATCGGTGAAGAGAAAAAAGAGATAGCATTACTATACCTTCTCTTGCTAAAGCTGGGCTTAGACAGGGCAAGTCAATTGATCAATTCAGTTGAATTCAACTGACTTGAACGCGAATCGAACGTGTAAACCATGCCATTCAACTGACTTGATCAACTCACTTGAATTAAAAAAAGTTGAACCAGGCTCAACTTTTCAAGCCAATTGAATTCAACGGAGTTGATCATTTGACTTGCCTAGTCTAAACCCAGCTGAAGAAAACGAAATGCAACGGAATCATTTTTGCGTCGATTCAACTCTTAGCTTCAACTTTACACGTTGTGAGTAGTCTCGCAATATCAAAGGAGCTTGTAAAATCAATGTCAGGTATGATATTTTACTCCAATATTATGCATCACTGATCATTATCATGTTATTAGACGGCATAATCGATAGCAAATTGATATTTTTCCGCTCTCATACGCTCTCAATATCACGCGTGATATTGAAGCAAAATATCATGCTTGATATTGATTTTACAAGCTCCTTTGATATTGTGAGACTATTTCAAATGTGTAAAGTTGTAGCTGAGAGTTGAATCGAGGCAAAAATGATTCCATTGCACCTCGTTTTCATAGAAAGAGAAAGTATAGTTTGCTATCTCTTTTTGCTCTTCACCGATGGCAGACACGAAGTGACTCCTACCAGTCGTTGTGGAAGTTTCAGTTGCGTTCGGGTGTAAAGTAAAAATCGTGAAACTCAATCCAACCACAGTTTGGTGAGATTTGCAGTTGGTGAGTTTTGTTAGCTTGATATTGCGAGCTGCGATATCAAAGCTTGCAATATCAACCGCAGTTGTTTACTTGTTGATTTTTGTCTACGAAAATCAAGCGTGATCTTGTTCTTTGTTGAGATTTGAGTTTTTTGATATTTTACAAACACTGGTCCAGAACTACGGGCAAGTTTTAAGATATTTCAGATAAGTTCCGATAGCTGCAAAGCAGTTCGATAGATCCGGAGTGATTTGAGATTTGGCCGCAATTGCTTTTGTAAACAAACACGTCAATTGCTGATTTATCTTGAATAAAAGCTCAATATCTCAAACAACCTATACCAGATGATAGAGGAATCATTCCTGTACCTCATAGTGTTATAACTTTTCGAGATTGAGCTTTTATTCGCGAGAAATCGGTGATTCAAGAGCAAATTTTCATTATGTCGTAAGTAACATTCGCACCGATCCGAGAAAAATAAAGTTTTGTTTTGATAACCGAAAAGTTATTCCTATTTCCAATTAAACACATATAATCTCATAGTGATTGCAATGTTTAACATATTTGGCCGGGTTTTAATCATACAAATGCAAATCGCTAGCTTTCATGCTAAAAAATACTGGTTTTTGAGTCAAAAGTTATTATACGTCGTTTGGTGGCCCCTATTGTTACTTAAGTCAAAGTGTATTTACCAGGATATTCGGGAGAATTATCAATTACGTCTCCTTACGTGCAGCCCATTCATCATTTTAGGACCACCGAAATCATCTTAGCAACAAACAGTTCGATTTATTCACTTTAATAATGAGAAAGCGAAACGACGAACGTACACTTTTCACGGGTTTCTCAGCGCTGTTACTTAAGGCAAACGGCATCTCCATAGAAATCGGGTGACTTAAGTAACATCGAAAACTATTTTGATCGGAAGGTGATTACGTCAAAAAGCAATTTGACTGGTAAATAAATTTAAAAATGGGATGTGATCCTATATTCGGACAGTATATAGTGTAATAGCAGGAGCATCGATTGACACTGATAGCTCGACTTTGTTTACCTTTGTTACATTCGACGTAATGAAAATTTGCTCTTGGATTGATGTGTTTGTTTACAAATGCAATTACGCCCAAATCTCAAATCACTCCGGAGATTTCAGGAAAATTTCTAGAAATTCAATGAAGATCAAAGAGGTTCAGGGCAGCCACATTAACTTCAGAAAAATTGCAGAAACTTTACAGAAGTGCTTAATACTTGAAGTTAATGATTTACATAAATATTTGGAGATAATTAACGTCAAATTTCAGACTTAAAGTGGACATGTTATACAGTAGATGAGGAATGAAAGTATAGAGTTGATAGTTCCGTTAGAGTACCGGTAGTGTACAAATTGTATTTAGAAAGTAAAATTCGAGCAAAGGACAATTTTAAGGAAGGTACGATTAGGGTTGATCATCCTCTTTACCAAACTCATCCGTTGAGGAGGGATTGGAAGTATCCCAAACTTAAGTTGAGTTTGAAGATCTTAAAGGAAGTAACGTGACTTCGAGTAGTTCAAAGAACTAAAACCATACTTATCAGGAATTTTAGGGAAGTTCCGAGAACTCCAGATAAATTTCGAAAACCTTGAGGCAGTTCCATTGAATTCAGGAAACCAGTGGGAACTAGAAATACTCAGAGGGAGAGATGGGCAGAAAGAATGTTTTGAGCCAAATGAACTGTCATAATCTGAGCCAATCGAACATTCCAATTAGAATGTTTCTTATTCTTACTAGAATAAATTTGAGAGTATTGCAATCGAACAGAAATTCAATCACCTTTAGGTTTTGTGTGCTTCTCAAATTCAACTAGTTTTTGGCATCAAAAACAATATTCTAACTCTATTGATTAATTGACCTTCGCCGGTTACCTTTTTTTTATTTTTTTTTCTTTATTAGAGAGATTTTTAGAATAAGGCTAGTTCATCTCTTTTAAAAATTACAAAAAAGAATTGGGACCTCAAAAGGAGGATCCCAATCTTGGCAAGTGGGCATTTAGCTTAATTATATAAAATATTGTAAAAACACTACCAAAAGGGCCAACGAATTCAAAAGCACAAACAGAAAACACTCAAATGTTGTAAACCGTGACGTTGTTGACCTCTTGCAGGGCAATCACCAGGGGGGACGCACCGCTGCAGAGGAGTTCCAACTCCGCCAAGTGGAGAAAGTAGCCGCTGATATTCCATTGGAGCATAAGATTCACCGGAACCGGTAGGGCGGGGGTAGGAAACCCCCGCTCCGATCCGCTGGTTGAAGGTCGTTCGATTGAGTG